CGCCTGCCGGGGCAGCCTGCCCCCCGCCCACAGCTCACTGGGGCACCCTCAGCCCAAGGGTGCGTGGCAGGTCCTGGTTGCTGATAAGAACCACACTCCTGCCTGCCTTTCAGGGCCCCCCAACAGCCGGGCTCCCACGTCCCACCCCAGCCTTGCACCCTGTCCCTCCCCCCAGCTCCCCCATTAGTGCCAGGGCAGCCTCCTGGGCCGGCCCAGTAGCTGCCTTAGTGGCCCCAGCTCCAGGCTGGCAGTCAGTACTGTGGGCTGTCACACTCGCTGTCGCTGGGTCTCGCTCCTAACAGCTCCCCGGGCAGTTTCCTAAGTCCGTCGTAACTCACGGCACAGAAGGCCAAGGTCTGCTCTGGAGTGACCTGTGACAGCAGGGCCACAGCACGTGACCCCCCACAGAGTGCCAGTGACACGAGATGCTGTTGAGGCCAGGTGCTCACTGATCTCGAGCTTGTGCCCCAGGTCGGAAGGTTTGCGGGGAGTTCGAGTTCCCCAAAGACACTGTAGCGCGTGTTCATGGAGCCCCTCTCCGGTTCAGTTAGGCACGCCCTTGCTCGCACCCGGGGTCTGCCTTTGGCTCACACATATGGTGCTACTGTGACCAGGGACTTGGCCCTCAGTGTGTATCCTGTTGAAGTCAGTGGCCTGCGGGGTGGCATCTGACACCCTGACTGGTCTGGGCCTACGCAGTCGGAGCCCAGGGAAGACCCACATCTCAGGCAGCACGACTCTTGTGGAACGGGGCAGCTGTCGCCGTCACAGCTAGACCCATCCGTGAGGTGGGCCCCATCAGCAGTGCTGCTGCAGCCAGAGCCAGCTTCCAGAGTCCAGAGCGGGCAGCACTGTCCTGCATCGCCACCCCCAAAGCCACTTCCACTTGCAGGCCAGCCAGGGGCCAGGTGTGGCCCACAGGGAACCCAGGCCCAGGAGCCCACGGCTCTCCTGGCCTCCCTGTGCTAACCCAGAACTCACCCTCGGATGTGCCAGGGTCCCTGCGACCCACCTCGTCCTTCCAAGGTCCCACAGTGACGCTGTTACTCCTTGGGAAACAGCTCTTAATGCAGACAAGAAACAAATTAGCTTAATGATGTTTGTCTCTGTTTTCTTTAGCTGCAGCTCGAATTTTTTTAGAAGTAGAAGTCAGAGGGGGTTTGGAAAGGCTGAACGTCCCGCCAGGCACGTGTCACTTTGGGTTAGCTGAGCGCTGCCGCCACCCTCCGCCGAGCGCCCACGGCGGCACATCAGACGGGTCAGGCGAGCACATGTGCTTCCCCAGGGCACGGCGGTGCCCTGGTGGGCGCCCCGCTTGGCAGCCCCCTTCGGCTGACAGGGTGAGGGCGAGGGGAGCCTGCGGAGCCCGGGAGCAGCCCCTGCACCCTGGCTGTGTGGGGGTGCGGCCCTTCCTCCCTGCAAGCCCCAGCAGCTGCCTTTGTTCACATGGCTCGCGTCTAGGTGGTTTTCCCGTCACCATCTCTTACAGAGATCTGCAGGGCAGTAGTCTCCACTGGCAATCCACTTTTTTCTCCAAAGATTTTTTTCTTTTAATGAGGTTTCCTTCCTTCCTTCCTTCCTTCTTTCCTTATTTCTTTCCTTTCCTTTCCTCCCTCCCTCCCTCCCTCCCTCCTCCGTCCCTTCCTTCCTGTTTATTTCTTCCACAAGAGAGAGACAGGGATTGGGTACCTTCAATGGAGTCTCCATGCTGTGATCGGTCCCGTCTCATCCAGCACAGATCACGGTCATATGTGCCCAGGGTGCTGAGGAAGGTCCTGGGACGTGAACCCAGGCCCCTCCCACATGGGTCCAGCAGTGTTACGGCTGTGCCCACACCAGCCCCCACGTGCTAGAGAACAGGGCCGAGTGGTGTGTCTGCTGCGATTCTGCGTGAGCTCTCCCTCGTGTCCTTGTGCCGGGCCTTTGGGCAGGGATGGGTGTCACAGTGGCATGTCAGACCCCAAGGGAACAGCGAGCGGGGTCAGCACTTCCAGGCCTGAGGTCACTCTTCAGAGGAGAGTGACCCCCAAAACCTCTGACCCTGCCTTGCTCTCGGGGCCATGTAGGCTCTCGTCCATCAGAGTGGACACTCATCCTGCTCAGGTCACTGCGGCCCGTTTTACGGAGTCGTCCCTGCCGTTTGAGGTCCCCGTGCCAACGCAGTGGCCTGGTCCTCTGGGCACTCCATGATGCACAGAGCTCTGGGGACAGCTGCCCTTTGTGTTCCTTCCTGCCTCCTGCAGGACACCTGGGCCCATGTGGCCTGCCCTGTCCATCAGCACCTCCACCCTGGTCACCTGCAGACTCCAGGAGACCGTCCTCTGGCCTCCCCAGGGCCCGCGAGGCAGGTGGAAACCCCCCGGGCCTTGGTGATGCTCCTGCAGGGCGGCCCCCACCATAGCTCACACGCAAGCTCCCTCAGGGCCTGCTCGGCCATCCTGGCACCACTGGTCTGTGGCTCAGGGCTGCCCTGCGTGGCAGCCCCCCCCCCCCCAGCCCACATCAGCCTCTCTGTGCTTCCTGCAGGGCCTGATGCACTCCAGCGGCCCAGTGGGCCGGCACCGGCAGCTGATCCTGGTCCTGGAGGGGGAGCTCTACCTCATCCCTTTCGCCCTCCTGAAGGGAAGCTCGTCCAACGAGTACCTCTACGAGCGCTTCGCCCTCATCGCTGTGCCCTCCATCCGCTCCCTGGGCCCGCAGTCCAAGGTAACGCACACGGCCCTGGTCTGGTCCAAAGGCAGACTGTCCCATCACCCCTGTGGCTCCCTGCCCACTCCAGAAGCAGGGCTGTGGGTCCTCTGCGCAGCTCTGCTGGCACGTCATGGCCGTGAGCTGCTCCAGGCAAAGCCTGGCGCCAGGCCAGGTCGAGGGTCTGAGGAGCTGCCTCCCAACCACGCACAGGCCCAACAGGCCCACCCTGCCTGGCATGACGCTGGCACTGGCTGGGCACCACCAGCACCCCTAGCTAGGGGCAGACAGGACAGTGGAAGAATCGGAAACAGAGGAGCAGCTTCCAGGGACAGGCAGTGACTGGGGAATGCTCAGTGCAGAGAGGAACATCTGCGAAGGCCTCTAACAGTGGGCCCTCCAGCGTCAGGGTCTCCCCAGGCCCCCACCCACCTGACCAGGGAGACTTCTGAGCCAGCTAAGCTCTCTCCCTTCCCCATCTCCTTCTGGAGACCCAGGCTCCCACGAGGGTCCCCATCCCCTAGTACTCCCTTGAGGCACCCCACACCCACCCCTGCAGGACCGCCTTACCCACAGGCACCTGCTAGGCTGTCTCCAGCCCCGAGCCCTCTCTGCGTCTGTTTCTAAAGACCCCTGCCTGCTGTGGTTGCTCAGTGGCAAAAATGACAGGCTGGGCCACTGGTTCGATTTGGGCCCAATCAGTTGCTGCCTCGTGAGTCTTAGGCGACCTTAACTTTGACGGGTTTAGTTGCTGAGCTATACTGTTCTCTGAATTGGTTCAAAGTGAGAGAAGTTAGTTTCTGGAGTGTCCATGCTGACTCAGGATCCCAGAGGGGTCTAGGGTTGGCCTCCCATTGCTGCAGCGCCCGGCACTCGCTCTGCCTGCCAGCAGTCGCGCTTGGGGTCATGCGGTGCCAGCCCTCAGGGAACTCCTGCTGGTGACAGTGAGCTACTGTTGGCCAGCGTGCCCAGGGGCTCGGCAGGGAGGCAGCCCAGGGAGAGCAGAACTTGGGCTCCTTCACGCCGACTTCCGACACAGGGAACTTTGCAGCGTAGAAGGCCGAGGGGAACAGCCTTGGCAGTACCTGGGACTTCACTGCCCTGACTCTGGGCCTGGCTCGCTCCTTTGTACAATTTAAACCATCCCCTCTCAAACCCCTGCCTCTTCAGAAGTGGGGCGAGGCGGGGCAGGCTGGTCACCGCAGGACCCCGCCTCTACACAGCCCTCTCCTGCCCCGCCGGCCTGTGGGAGGCGGCCCTCCTAGCACCCAGCCCTGGTTGTTTTCAGGAGCCCTCACAGCAGGGAGGTCTCAGTAGGCGGGACCTGGGTCAGAAAGGTGTCGCAAGGTAAATGAGGCCCCCAGGGCCCCCAGTGCTGATGTACAGCCTGCTCTCCTCCCCTCCCTTCCAGTCT